TTTGTAGGTATTTGGTCGTAAACCAAATAAAAATATCAAAATGTCGAGTTCGAGGAAAACTCAGGGCTTTACAGTTTATCCTGAGGGATGACATTTCACTCCAAACTACAGATGTATACCTCATGGGGACAACTGATGAAAAGTCAGAGGATTCACCCTTTGAGGAACATGGATGACTGTACAAAATCTTAAACGCAATCTATTGTTGTTGAGATATTTCAGTCTGGCCTCCAGTTGTGGGCCAATGGATGACATTGAAAAACATAGCTTGCATGATTTCTGTGAAACAAACAAAATAATTAAAATTGGTGGCCAAAACAAATATCTATTGGATAATGTTTATCCAGGAAGGTCCTGTGTTTATATGTTGAGTAAAACTGAGGACAACATTAAAAGGGAAAAAAATTGAGATGGGTGGATGGGGTGAAATTAAGGTTAAATTAATGTATAAACATATTTTGAAAAAGTGCAGATCTTCCTACCAAACACTCGTTCATCGTTGATGTTCTTTATACAGAACCAGAGGCCTGCTGGGAACGTGCAGACCAGGATGTGGAGGTCGAAGAAGAAAGAGACCCACGTCGTCGGCTGGTGCTCTGACACCGACGCTATGATGGGGATGTGGATCTTAGCATAGCTGGGGATAGAGAGGGGGAGGGTGGGACGAAGGATGACAAAAGGGGGGAAGGGAGAGACAGGCAGGATGTAATTCATGTTGGGCTGAGCGTGATGGGAGTTTTGAGACAAATTATACAATAGATCCTCCTGATTAACTCCAGAATTATGAGGAAAAGAAGATAATTTCCCTCCCCAGCATGCTCATGGTAAAATATGAACAAATGCAGCATTAGAGATGACTAATGTTCTTTTTTTGCTGTTAGTTTTTCTGATCTGTGTGTTCCCTCTTTATTCATTATGGGCTTTTACACAGCAGTTTTTATATGATTTTAAATATTTCTCTCTAAAGTGTTTTGTGATCACAGCTGGGAAACAGAAAACACACAGCACATTAAGGAATTAGTATCAGCCTCCAGAGGAAAGAAGAAGAAAAAAAAATCTCCCATACTGCTTTAGTCAGCAAACAGGGGGGAAGAATTGATTGGGTGTGCTGAAATATCAAACACGTTGCAGTGCATTTGGAGAACACAGGGTGCCCAGTGCTATTTGGAAGTAAGACAATAGTTCAACACACAGCCTGTGCTGTACTGTTTTTTCCCTCTGGGATTGTGGGGGGGGGGGGGGGTTTATAGCCATCTTAGAAAACACACACATGCACTCGATTGAACAAGTGTTCCATCGACAGCAAGGGTGTGAAGGTCAGCAGAGCTTACCCGGTGTCCCAGAGAGAGTAGAAACGACCACTCCACGGAGCAATATATCCTAGAGAAAGAAAAGACGATCAATAAAGACATATATAATGCTTTTCTTTTAATACTATCCATTTGAGCATGGAATAGAAGGACAGAGGGAGGCCTGCAGGAAGTTTGTTGGATTGCGTTAATGTAAAAATAAGCAAGATAGAGTCGTTAATAATGGGAAAATACATTAAAACAACTTGAGAATACTTGAAAATAGATTGTCCTTTATTACCACGGAATGTAATTATTTATATGGGAAACTCAACTCAACTGTTTGCTTTGAATAAATAGTATGGTTATCACTATCCGACCCACGGGGCTGGATAAAAGCATAGAAAAGATTGCCTGAGGACAATACAATAAAATATACTGCTATAATGTGATAAGGTGAATCTACTTATGCAAAGCCTGTTGGTTTATGATCTTATGAATTTCTATAATAAATATTCATGACTACATAAGCAACAATAAAGACAAAGTTCAGAAGAAATACAAATCATTAATTTTTATTTATTAAGAGTTTAAAAAGTGTAGTTTGACCACTAGGAGCCCAATGAGGTCACAGTTTAGTCTGTTTTGTTTGTGTGTAGAAAATAGTCAGCAGGTGATCAGATAAACCATCTGCTAACACTGTCTATCACAGGTCAACTTTAACCAATTGGATCAACAAACCATACAACAGTCAAACTTCATGACTACTTCAAAAACATAATTTTCATCGGGAAAAGCAGTCAAACATTCTTTGCTCTTCCTTCAATGACAAAATACTCTCGAGTTCCGATATAATTGATACACTGATATAACTCTAATGTGAAATAAACAAATCTGTTCTAACAAACAAAAAATCATAACCTCATCCTTTATAGAAAGAAGCTGACAGAGAAAATAAACATTTAATAACATCCATATGAAGTCCAGCGACTAAACTGTATGAACAATCTGCCAACTGTGGTTCAAAACCAAGAAAAACCCAATGCTGAAAAGTACCATCAATAGAATACATTAATTACTGGAATTGACTTGTTTACAAATGTAACTGAAACCATTTAAGCTGCAAATTAGACCGCACAGGGCATTTTATGTACGTATGCAAATGTCTTATTTTGGTGAAGCTTTGATCTGGAATACATTTCAGCTCTGAACTGCTGCCTGAGGGCTCTCACTCACACACTCATGTGCGCAGACAACACAAAAAAAAGCATTAGCCCCATTTTTTGTTTTAATTTTGTGACGTTTGCACCAATATATAGCTGTACAATGTCCTTTAAGAGATTCTGCAATGTAGTAGAAATTATACCATATGGCCACTATAAAAAAACAGACCTTTTAAATAAGATATTACAAAGCACTAAACCAAAGCAAGCAAGCAAAAGATGTGAAAAAGCAGTAAAAGTTAGATGAAGGAGATATTTTGAGAGGTGATTTAAAGGATGACACTGATTTAACTAATCAATACTTGGCTGTGTTCAAGATACTGAAGAAAACCACCCGTTGCAGAGATTGTTACGAGATGAAAAAGTCTAACAGACCAGAGAAAGACATGCGCAGTTTCACAGCAAAACTGGCACATCACCAAACAGCCACAGACTCCCACTGCTTAATTCAGATGGCTTACGGATCATAACGTTTACCAGACATACAGTTGAAGCCAGGATCCTCACGAGACTGGATTTCTGCATCCTCATGAGAGGCCAATCAGTTCTAAAGCAGGCAGGCAACCAATCTAAGGATGGCAATATTACTGTAGATGTAATATGCCACCATCTCTCTGCACTGGGCAAAAGGACTGGCTGCAATGTTTACATAATCTGCAGCGACAGAATGTCAGTTTGTTGGTTAACACAAGTAAATAATCTACCGTAATCAAGGTGAAAACCAATATATGAGGTCAGGTTAACAGAAATCAAACTTTATTAAGACTCATTATACACTGTAGAAAAGGTGTGCATGGAGATAAGTGAGCTCTCCTCTGACATAGTAAACCAAGTATATTACTGTAGCTTTCTTGGGACCGGTCTGAGGTAAGAAACCACTAGAAAGAGAAGCAAAGCCAGTGTGATGCTGTAAAAAGTTGTTTAAAATGGCTTTTGAGGTGGAACGTGCAGCACATTTTTAAATCTCTTGGTGCTTTCAAAATAAGATGGTAAAATATGTTTCTTATAAATAAGTCAAGATTCTGAATATGCCATCTTAAATCCCAACACTTCAGCAGGAGACAAAGTCAATAAACAGCAAAAAGACAACATTTGAAAAGGTCTGAAACCATAAGGCCTCCACTGGGGCCACAAACCCCGTCGGAGCTGAAAATAATGGAGAAAAACATTAATAAGCACAAAGTTCAACTAGCTGGCTGTGCGCATCAGGGTTCAATCAGGACAGTCAAACAACACATACAGTATACAAGTTCACTAAAAGGCACTCGGGTAGAACACAATCTTCCACCAACGCTCAACAGTTCGCCAACAAACAGCAACATTCATATCGGTTTATATTTGTTTATCATTTGTCTTCCAGGTTTAAACCAAATGCTGATTAGCAGCCCACTGGGGAGGCCTGGAGGTCAGACCATCAGGGGATAGTGTATGAACATATTGTAACTTCTGGCAAAAAAAATAAAACAAAATCTAAAATGGCTCAAATCCCAGATCTGGATCGCCATCAAAATCTAGTCAACTGATCCCTGCACAAAAGGCTATTTGTCCACCAAATCTGAGCCAAATTATGGGTAATTTCTAACATACTGTGCTAATAAACAGGCAAACAGATGGGGGTGAAAATAATTCACCATCTTCTATTTTAGTATTGTTGTATAAAACTCCTATGATACAATTTTCACTGAAAGCTTTTTATTGTATACAGCTGGGATGATAAATCTTGATATTAATGGGAAAATAATGCATGCAGCCAGGTAAACTATAATAAAATTTGCAATAGACTTTAATTGTAAAGATATTACCTGCAAGACATTCAGTAGTAGAGCGTTCATTGCTACAGGGTGGCTTTTCAAATTAAAATGTTGTTTATGTATATGTATATGAGAAAGAAATTACAAGTAGGGCTACAACTAATGATAATTATTTTAATAAATAAATGTGTTGATTTTTTTTCTCAACAAGGTTCAGAAATGTCTGACACAATTTCCCAAAGCCCAAGGTGATGTCTTCAGTTTGCTTGTTTTGTCCGACCTTTAGTCTAAAACCTGAAAACATTCAATCGACAAGGACACAAAACAGAGAAAAGCAGCAAATCCTCCAAACTGTGAAGCTGAAACCTAGAAAGTACTACAGTTTTTGCTTGATAATTGACCAAATTGATTATTATGCTCCAAGAAATATTCTGTCAAACAATCAAACATCAATTAATGCATTAATTGTTTCACCTGTACTTGGGACGTAAATTAGATGGTTTATAAAGGAACCATTGTGACTAAATATCACTGTGAAAGCAGGTGAGCAGACATACATACCTGTGTATGTGAGATAAATTACTGTGAGGAAGACCACGCCAGCAGCAAGAGAGACCCCGAGGAAGAAAAGCGTCTGGAACTCTTGTCTGGTCAGCCTGTCTTTCAGGTACTGCAGGAAGGCGTAGGCCTGGAGCAGTGCAAACACACCTGAGAAAAACCACAGACAGAAAACAAAAGAATGATGAAACCTACAAAAGGAATCTTGGACTGAATATTTGAGGAGGCCCTGATTCATGCTGCCTCCTACAGGGTGCAAAGCAGGTTTTACTTAGTTAAGAAGCACTGTTGTCAGTTTGGCAGAATTCTGGACAAAGCAGTTCACGATAGCCCCCTGTGGCTGTTCATGCAGATGTGAAAGACAAATACTGTGGGACAACATATTTCAAATTCATGAGACAGATTTGTATGAATAGGCTCTTCTCTTTGCCTAGCCTGGTCTTTCTTTTTGCCGCCCCCTTCGGTCACACTTTTTTCCTCCATTCCTTTGCTCTGTCACCTTCTCAGTGGCATTTCTCCAGTGTGTCTCATTGTTTGTATGGTGAATTTGACATAAAAAATTGAAAAGAGGTCTGGTTTCCCTCCCTTTCGTCACCTCCCATTCCTTTGACAAACCTTGTGTGATATTGCCCTACTCCTCTCCGGTAGCCCACAACCGCCCACAGCAGGTCTCACCCATTTCCAAGGTTAAGCCCCTGCCTGCCTCCTGGAGAGCCGCCATAGTGCTAACACGCTTGTCACTCTATGCCACCCTGCCTGTCCGCCTCAGGGGATGACATCTCAAGGGTACCGACCATGGCTCTGTCACTCTCTTCCTGTTTCCCACTGTGCTCCCTGAACGTTACCACCAGATGTTCTGAGCAGCTGCTACCCTTGCGACATGAAAACAAACTTGCTCTTTGAGAGATAGAGAGAGGGGGGAGCCAAAAACAGAGAGGCAGGGATGATATTTTGTGGTGGTGCATTCTTCAAAGCCACTCATAATGCTGTTTGTGTTGTAGACACCGAGGAAAACAGGGACATAACGTACGCCTGCTGCAGTGTTAAGAGAATTTTCACAAAAGGTGCTGCTCAGTTCTTCTAAAGCTGCCAACAACAGTCCTCTCCCAATCTGGATGTAAATGAACACAAGAATCATCCACATACATATGCACCCATCCATGCTGTCGGGCAGCAGATGGGCCCACTCTTGAGAGGGGAAACTGAACAAGCTTTAATAAACTACCCACAAGCCAAAAAATGAAAAGTACTTAAAGTGCTAAACCCATATGGGTAGCATGTGAAGCCACTTATTTTTTTTATTTTGTAAATGTATTCTGAGGAGGTCCTGTGTTCTTCTTGACTAACACCATCAGCATCAGAGGGGATTCAATTTCCACTGCAGCCAACCAATCTTATAATGTGTGCATGCACGGTAATATAAGGTGCTCTGGATAACAAGTGAGTGGCTTATGTAAAGTCACACCGTTAATACATGAACAACAGCAGTCAGCCTGAACCTTTCTCTCTGTGTTTTGCAGCATGAATTTGTTGGCAGGGTCAGGTTGGCAAGTTGACATGAAAGCTCTGACATAAAATCTCTGCATTGAATCAATGTGTCCGTGTATATTGTTTTAGAATGTAAACAGTTTTATTGCAATTCAAGTACACATTATAACATGTATAGGTCAGCAACAACAGGTAGAGTAGGAGGAAATGAGGCTGATGGGTGGCTAAGGGCCATGCTATCGCGTCACTGACATTTGGTGAGAAAAGATTGATAGACTCATAACTTCAGGCAGCGAGAAAATGAAATGCTGACTTTATCATTGCACTCTGAATGGCATTCACTGTGAAACTTTCTAGAAGGGAACTTGTTCTTCCAAGAAGAATACAGGATCAGACAGCCTGAAGGTAGAGAGGGTGGGACTTACCAGCAGCAGCCATGTGCTCGCTGGTCCTGATTGGCTGGAAGCCGACGAAAGGGATCTGCATCGACAGTATGAGACCCACAATGTAGAAAGTGCTGTAAGCTGTAAAGAAAGAAGAAATGGGGAGAAGAAACAGGAAGAGAGAGAGAGACACTGGATAAGAAATCAACAATCAATCAATTCATTCAATAAACTATTGCACACTCAAAAACCTTTGATTCTGTTCAATCAGTCCTGTTTGGGTCCCACTAAGGGAAATTAACCTCAATAGAGGTATTTAAAGTCTATTGATTTTCACTGCCGCACCTCAGAGGGAGTAAATACAAAATACCTAATCTAATGTCATTTACTGAGAAAATGGGAGCTGGCTCTGCGCAGTGTGGCAGGGAGGCCTGGAGTGAGACAACGGTGCAGAGAACAGTGCGACTCCCACCTTTGTAGCTGGGGGGAACCGATTCACAGACGCACCAGCTTAATTAAGATTTCATACTCTTCCTGAAGAGTGTGCATCATTTTTGAAGTAGTTGTGACCGCCCTCAGCAATCTCTTTCTCACACATCTGCTATTGACTCAAGAAAGAGAGAGATGAATTGTGAGGGAACACAGACTGCGAGGCATTTTATTAAATATTTTTTTTCCCTTTTTGCATGACATCTGGCTCTAAAACAGGATGTAAAGAGGAGGGAAGGTGAGGAATATAGGAGGCGCTTGAAGACCTTGTCTTTTCTGTCAGCAGAATATGTCTACAAATAAATTCCTCTGTCTCTCATTTGCTACCAAAAGGTGCATGAGGTTGCTGGATGACGTTGTGGTCGCACATATCCTTGAGGAACAATGAACAGTAAAGGAAATTTTCTCCTTCATCTAACAGCATCGTCGAGTAGGATTTCATCGTTGAAGAACCATTTGGAGACAGAGCAGACGTAGGTCAAATCCCTCTCACTGTAAAGAGGCAATCATTTATTTCCAAAGCTCTCAGAGACTATGCTTTGCAGTTACAATGAGTACAGCACATAATCATGTGTAAATGATACTTGACATGGTATAATTTTTCTTTACCACAACAGAAGTGCCTAACACAAGCTCACTGTTAAGCTGACGACGGATGTGTGAATATCTGGAGGCGGGTCTGACGGACTAAGCTCGAGTTCTCTTAGCCGATGGATAATGTGCTGGAGCTGCCACGTGCTCTGTGAAACTGGGGTGTTCGGTGGAATAACAAGCCTATCCTCTTTCCCAGCGCTCTGCCTCTGGTATTTGCAGAAAAAAATATATAAAGGAGGATCAGGTAGCAGGTGGCTGCATTTACTGTTAAGTGGTGTGTGGGTGTGTGGATGTCATTCCGATGATGGAATGCTTGCGGTTGTGAGTGATAAGCACAGGCGTGACTGTGCATTTGAGCTTGTTTCAGGGTTAAATGTTTGGGCAACAATGTTGGGAGATGCATAGGACGTCTGTTTATTGCATACATTTCTATTCTAATGGGAGAGGATCTGAAAAGGCAGTTTCCATTTCAGTTACTATATGCGGGGGAGTTTTAAACATCAAGTGACACAACCACAAGCAAGTAAACCAGACAATAACTTTGAGAGTGTGTGAGTGTATGCGTGTGCGTGTGTGTGTGTGTGTGTAAACCTTACCGATGTAGACTCTTCTGCTGTAGCGTTGCATCAGCAGCAGCACAAACACATGCAGAGGAATCAGGTTGATAATAAACACGTAACCTCCCCATGCTGACACCTAGAACAGAAAAACACATAAAACAAGTCAGTCAGCCTACAATACTTACAATCCTTTCTCTGAAACATTCTTCTTCATTCTGAAATAACCGGCACATAAATCAGTTATTAAACATTTTGTTTTTCTGCTTCAAATGCTGAATGCAGGCTTTCCTGCTATAATGCTAAAATTTTTTTGCAGGAGGCCTCAGTGACAGGAGCAACTACAAATCAACACCAGTTGAGACACGAAAGGTTTCCCATATTGTCACTGTCCAATGAAGAGCATGTATTTCCACATTTTATTCATTTATTTTAGATAACTGAAGGATTAAGTGTTCCTTTATGTGTTGAGAACACCTCCGTCCTCCTACTTCTTAAGCTAAAAAAAAACCAAAACAAAAAAACCAAAACACATTATAAGACCAATTGGCTTTTTAGAAAAAGCATGTTACAAAATGTTGCCGTTTTGGAAATACACGACAATATGTCGAATTTGTTGGGTCAGCAAACCCAAACAAGCAAACCATGCATGAAAGTTTTTGTTGCATTTATTATTTCTTGCTTCAAAGGTCTGTATGGAAATGAATCTGCCACAATGGCGCATTCATGTGTGATTGCAAGTAACTATAGCTTTTGAATTCAGTGCTGTTTGCACCCCCCCATTCTCCCAAAGGGTCGACCACCGCAATGAATGTTTAACCTCTGACAACACCGAATATGTTTACTGGAATCAGGCTGCGACAGTCTCTAATTTTACCGCTTAGCTTCAAATTATATCACTGCCTTCAAAGAACAGAATTCATACACATTAGGACAGCAACTTATTTTTATTATTGGTTACCTTGTGAATGAATAAATTAATAGTCAAAGAAATTGGCAGAACCCAAAAACCCAACAGTCCAAATCCTAAGAAATTTAGATTACAGCTACATAAAATAGAGAGAAGAGCAGGAGATTTCAGTTTTGAGAAGGTTAAACCACCAGATAGTAATATATACAGTTTTTGTTGATCAGCTGGTTGACTAATCAACTAATCCTTACAGCTTCAATAAAGGGTAAATAAATAAAAACAACAACTGAATATTTAACTATCTTTCAAATTTCATTTTCGAGAACTTGAATTAAATAAAAAGTGAATCAATCGATACACACAAGCATCCCTTCTTCCATGCCAGCACCCCTGCACAAAGATCACCTTGTACACCTTGAATAGAATCATTAAAGAACGGTTGTAAAAACTTCTTACTGCCTCTTCACTATTAGACACAAGCACACAGGTATAAAAACTGACGTATATAGAATCTATAAAAACTAGGCAATCATACTTTACATGTTGGATGTAAAATGTGAGAGGCACCAATAACTTTAAAAGCTCCACTAAAATTATACCTCAACTGTTTTTGAGGTCCGCTAAGTATCTCGCTGGATGTGGGGGCAATAAAAGGACTCTACAAAAATATCACTGACAAGTTTTCAATTGCCTATACTTGACTACAGCAAAGGGCAAATGGAAACTGTGAGAGCACTAGACAGACAGAAGAGCATAGCGAAAGAGAGAAAGAATACAGAAAAAGTAAGAGTGTTCAGAGAAACAAAGCGAGACAGAAGAAAAGGAAAGTTGTAAAGTGTAGGAAAGTGAAACAGAAACAGAACAGAGTGAGAGTGAATTAAACAGAGGAAGGGGTTGCATATACGCAAATTGTTTGATCCTTTCACAGCAGCTTGTCAGAAAGAGCCCCATTGCACCTGCAAAGGACGATAAAAAGAGCATTCATTACACTTACGCAATCACAGGAAAAGGGAGCACGTCATGTCTAATTGATAAAAGCATTAATAAGCTACGTTAAGGGAGAGAGTGAAAGAAAAGTCCCTAAATACGTTCCTTGCTGAATGGTTAGGTGCAATTATCTTTTGGCAGTCATTTTGCATCTGTGTTCAGACGGTGACAGCCAATTAGTAGTGTATGAACCGTAACTTGAATATATACCAGAAATGACTTCAATTTAAGACGTTTTTTTTAAGTGTTGACTCAGGGGCAGCTGATTAAGTTTCTGTTGCTGACTGGCTGGGGACTAAATGAAAACATAACACTCAAAACAGTGTACAGGGCTACTTGCTCTGTAGCTGTAATACTTAATATGACACGTGTTGACACATGTTTAGTGAGGATATACGATATAGTCAAGGTACTTAATGTACCTTCAAAAAGATATGCTCTGTCTGCAATAAAGAGTAAGTCAAACGAGCTTCTTGACACTGAAAACTGTCACAAAATACCACCAACCACATCAGTGTCTCTCAGGGTAAACCTAATAAAAAAAACCTCTTTAAAATATTGATCCTTTTGAGTTAGATTCCCTGGTATCCGTGAGGTACATTATTGACTCACAGAGTAAAAGTCAACATTATTTTTCAGGCTTGTTTTTCTCTTTGGATACTTAGCTGGGAATAAGCGTAGGAGGCTCAATGCCATGTCAGAGGGATGGAAGATAGTGAATGGAAAATTTCCCATGGTCCCTATTTGTGTTGCAAGTGTTCAGGTCAACTCGAAATGACAGTTAGATATATAATTTGCAGAGTTTACCATGTGGGTTTAAAAAATAGAAACAAAACAATACAAAATTATACCAGTGAGTCAATGAAGGGCTTCAGTTTACGTGCGGCATCCTTGTTTGTTTGGTAGTTAGTGTTATTTAGCACGTTAAGTAAAATTTATATTTTTTCTAAACAAAACTAAGGCTACAGTCACACTGCAAGCCTTGCTGCTCAATTCTAATTTATATCTCAGATCCAATTTCTTAAAAAAGTTATTAAAAGTCATCCTCTGGGCACCATGAATATGTGTGTAATAATTCAATTCAATTTCATTTATATAGCGCCAAATCATAACGAAAGTTATCTCAGGACAGTGGTTGTTGTAGTGTAAAATAAAGGAAAACTCAGAGGATCATCAGAGTCAATAGGATTCATCCTCCAGGGACCATGAATGTCTGTACAGAGTTTTGTGCGTATTCATCTAATAGATGTAAATATTTCAGTCTGGACCAAAGTAGTAGAATGACCAACTACTGCCATTGCCATCCACAGAGCCATGTTGCTAAGATGGCCAAAAACAAGATTATCAGTCAAAATTACCATTTAGATGTTGGCCTGAACTATATTCATAAATCAGAGACTGGTAGATTCTGTAACTTCAGTATGACGTGAAGGTGGTATCAGGATCTGTTATACTGCTAAATCTACAATGCAACTTAACTGCATTTACCTCTCGAGTCTTTAGAATGAATGGCCATGCCGGCAGAGCACACAAACAACCGGAAGAAAAAAGAACGGAAGAAACTGGCCATCTGGTCACATTAGAGGATCATGCAAAGATGAATGTCCATGACAAAAGCTAAAGCTGTGCCGGTGCAGGAACCAACTCTATTTGAAATTATGGTTCTAATAGCCAGCCCTCTGCCCAAGCCACAGGCTAACAGCTGAGGGCAGGAATTGGAAAATGTTTGGAGCAAAGTCTTTTAGCCGTTATCGCTCTCTGCATTTCATACCGGGCTTATCTGATGACCTCAGGCCACTCTGAAGAGGATAGAGAGAACACAGCAAGACAGGGTTTACTCTGTGTGTGCGCACATTTGTGTGTGTGTGTGTGTGTGTGTGCGCACACAAGTGTTTGCAGCTTTCCTGTGTGCTCTTGTTGGGCGTCAGTCTTTTTCATTTGTGAAAATAAATATTAATGTTGTTCTGTTTTTGTTTGCTTATTCACTTACTGCACTTTAAGACATGACATAAAAAAACCAAAGACACTTAATGATCAATGGTCAACAGAAAGGGGAAAGAGCTGCAAGTTTATCACTTTTAAATAAACAGGACTAAAAGGTCTTTCTTTTGTGGAAATCCATTTCAAACGTCAACCTCATGTTGGTGCTACAGGAAAAGTCCGAGGATTACCAAAGTCATTATGTTTCGCCCTCTCGGGAGCGGGACCGTGGATGTCTGTACAAAATTTCAAAGCAATCCATCCAATAGTTGTTGAACTATTTCTGTCTTGACTAAAGTGGTGGGGTGCTAGTACGACTAAAAGGTTAAACAAAGTGACATCTCTTAAACAATCACCTGAGGAGCCTTTTGTTCAGAGCATTTAATCAATACTTGATTAAGCAAAGGAGCTTTTGGCAAGTCCTGATGTTACAGGTAGCTCTGCTAGAGGGGACTGTGGAGGGTTTTTGGGAATGAGCAGTCCAGTTGATTCATGCATTTGCTTGTGCTCTGTCCTGCCTGTTTTTCCCCCATCCTCCATCCTCCACCCCTCACCCACTCTACCCTCACCCCTGGAGGGATGAAAGGATGATGTTGTGCAGGGAAGCAGAATGGTCCTGTCCATCAGTAGGTCCTGCTGCTCTGATCCTCCTCTTAATCTTGTCCTTTCCTGTCCTTTCCTCTCTTATTATGCCAATATCCAGGCAGGGGATATCTCCCACTCTGTCTCTATATCTGCTTTATGAGTGTCACATTCGATTAAGCCCCAGGGGAAAACGTAGCCATGGCTATATCCTGATTAAAGTGTGATGGGGTGGTAAAAAAAAAAAAAAA